AAGAGGAAGGTGAAAGTTTAGATCAGTTTTGTACGAGATTGAAGAAGATTTCATTAAACTGTGAATTTGGAGAAAATCGTGATTCTGAGATTAAAAGTCAAATTATACAAGGTTGCCTATCTTCAGAACTAAGAAAGAAAGCTCTCACAAAGTCAATGAATCTCACAACATTGCTTGAGACTGGAAAAGCGATGGAGTTGGCTAAAGATCAACTGTGTGCAATGGAGAGTGAGTCAAGTATCCAAGGGATATGTGGAGTTAGTTCCTACAAAGGAAAGTGGAAAAAGAACATTTCATCCAACAATTCTAGTCATTCAAGAGATCAGACAAAGAAGCATCAAATTAATAAAGGTAAAACCTTTCATACAAAACTAAAATCATGTTTCAGTTGCGGTGGAGTGTATCCACATGCAGAAAAGTGTCCTGCATATGGTCGCAGATGTTATAACTGTTCCAAGTATGGTCATTTTGCTAGATTCTGTAAAGAAGCGAATAGTAAATTCAACAAGCCCAAGTTGAACAGTGTGCAAAATGAGCCTAAACATGATTGCAGAGATCATGAACTGAGTGAAATGAGCTCTGAAAATCATGAATATATTCTCTCAGTGAATGGATCAATGTGTAATTGTTCCAATAACAATATTCCTGCTAAAGTACAGTTGAAAATTAACAATGTGCTTTGTTCTATGCTTATAGATAGTGGTGCAAGTGTCAATGTACTCGATTACAAAACTTTTCAAAATTTAAAAAGTAGATCCAGTAAACCATGCAAATTGGAAACTGCAAATATTAAGCTTTATGCTTATGGAAGTAGAAAGCCCTTGTCTGTGAAGGGAAAATTTCATGCAGTTGTAACTTCTAAGTGTGGCAAATGCATCAACACTGTATTCTATGTTGTTAGATATGCAATTGGTTGTTTGCTCTCTTTCAAGACTGCTAGTGATCTTGGTATTTTGAAAATTATTAACTCTGTGTCAAATGATCGAGTGGATCTCACTGAAAATATTTTAAGGGATTATAATTCAATTTTTCAAGGGTTGGGGAAATTGAAAAACTTCCAATTGAAGTTGAATATTGATGATTCTGTAAACCCTGTTCATCAAAAGCACAGACGAGTTCCTTTTAAAATGCGTCAAAAAGTCGAAAGTGCTGTTGCTAAACTGTGTGATGAAAACATTTGTGAAAGTGTGGGAAATTGTCCTACTCCATGGGTCTCTCCTATTGTATGTGTTCCTAAACCTTGTGACCCAGAAAACATTCGACTATGTGTCGATATGCGAGCTGCGAATGAGGCAATAAAGAGGGTAAAACACCCTATGCCTACTGTTGATGAACTTATACATGATTTAAATGGATATAAAGTATTTTCCAAGTTGGATTTGAACCAGGGTTATCACCAAATTGAATTACACCCTGACAGTAGACATATTACTACTTTTAGTACCCATATTGGATTATACAGATATAAAAGATTGAATTATGGAGTTAATGCTGCTAGTGAAAAATTTCAATATTTGATTGAACAAGCATTGCACGGCTTAAGAGGTGTCAAAAACATCTCAGATGATATTTATATCAGTAGTGTAAATGAGGCTGAGCATGAGAAAGATTTAAGAGCCTGTTTGCAACGTATAAGAGACTGTGGTCTTACTTTGAATAAGAAAAAGTGTTCATTTTTTCGATCGTCTATAAAGTTTTTTGGAAATATTTTTGGTGATAAAGGTGTGTCACCTGATCCAAATAAGGTTGAAGCTATAAACAAGGCTGATAGACCTTCTGATAAGCAACAAGTTAAATCTTTTCTTGGTATGTCGAACTATGTGTCTCGTTTTATACCTAATTACTCAACTATTGTTAAACCTATACAAGAGCTTACTAAACAAAATGTTGATTTTATATGGAGTGAAAATTGTGAAAAAGCTTTTTGTGAATTGAAAAATAGTCTCACAAGTGATACTGTTATGTCTTATTTTGATCCTAAGCTTTGTACTGGAATTATTGTAGATGCATCCCCAGTTGGACTTGGTTGTGTTTTAGTCCAGAAAGAATCTGACATTGATAATGAATATGTCCGTGTGATTGCGTATGCATCTAGATTGTTGAGTGATGTGGAAAGTCGTTATTCCCAGATAGAGAGAGAAGCTCTTGCTGTGTGCTGGGCTATAGAACATTTCCATCTCTATCTGTATGGTGTAAAATTTACTGTTGTTACTGATCACAAACCCTTAGTGAGTGTGTTTTCTAGTGTGACTGCTAAACCTTCTGCCAGGATTGAGCGTTGGTGTTTGCGTTTACAACAGTACACCTTTAATATTGTACATCGTCCAGGGAAAACTAACCCTGCTGACTACATGTCAAGGCATCCCATTGAAATGCAAAATGTACATTCTGATAAAGTCACAGAAGAATATGTGAATTATGTATGCGAGAATACATGTCCCAAAGCTATCAAACTGCGTGAAATAAAAAGTGCTTCTGAAAATGATAGTGTGATACAGAATGTGATAAAATGTTTGCAAAATAACTTATGGTATAAGTATAAAGATTGTGAAGAAATGTCTATTTTTGCCAAAATTGCCAGTGAACTTTGTGTGACTGAGCAAGGTATTTTATTACGAGGTTATCGAATTGTTATTCCAGTATGTTTGAGACGTAAAATTGTTGACATTGCTCATGAGGGACATATGGGTATGAGTAAAACAAAATCTTTGTTAAGAGAAAAGATATGGTTTCCTGGTATGGATGCTATGGTAGAAAATGTGGTGAAAAGCTGTGCTGCTTGTGCTTCTGTTGTGAAAGATGAGAGAATGCTCCCTTTAAGCATGAGTGAGTTGCCACAAAAAGCTTGGCAAGCTGTTAGTTGTGATTTTTCTGGTCCATATCCCAGTGGAGACTATTGTCTTGTTGTTATTGATGAATACTCTCGTTTTCCTGTTGTTGAAATTGTAAAAGCTACGTCTAATTTTTATGTCATTCCTGTTCTTGATAAAATATTTTCAATGCTAGGTTTTCCTGAAGTTGTGAAAACTGATAATGGTCCTCCTTGGCAAAGTTATCAATTCAGACGTTTCATGGAACTGTGTGGCATACGTCATAGAAAGATAACTCCCTTGTGGCCTAGAGCTAATGCCCAGTCCGAAAATTTTATGAAACCTTTGGGTAAGGCTATCAAGACTGCTACGGTTGAAGGCAAGTCTTGGAAGCAGGAAATGTATAAATTTTTTGAGAAATTATAGAGCATGCCCCCATGTTACAACAGGTAGACCACCTGCTGAATTATTGTATGGTACTAATATTAAAGTCCTATTACCTGAAATTATTGTTCCTACTGTTGATAATGATTTACGTGATCGTGATTGTTTTCATAAGGCTAAACAGAAAATGTATGCTGACGCAAGAAATTGTTTAAAGCCGACTGAACAATTCATGTTGGTGACTCCGTGATGATGAGACAAAATAGAAGCAATAAGCTTTCTTCAGCATATAGACCTGAGCCTATGGATGTTATAAATGTAAAAGGTTCTATGATTACTGCACAAAGTCCAATATTGGCAGTAAAACTAGAAATGCTTCTCTGTTTAAAAAAGTAAATGATTGTACCTTTCGCAAGCGTTTTACAAATATCACTGGTGCTGATGTTTTACATGATAATGATATTTCTGACGATACTGCTAATTTGAATGTTGATAATGAAACGGCAGATCCTATTGCTGAAAGTCCAGCACCTTCTGTTCCCCCTGTTCCAAGTGTTAGAGATCGTCCTAGAAGATGTCCAAAAGTGCCAAGTAGATTTAAAGATTTTCATATGGGACGAATTACAGTATTGACTGCTTAACTGTATTTTGAAACTAATGTGTACTGTGTTTTGCATTGTATTTCATGAAGTTGATATCGATATTTATCTGTGTGAAGACTTGAACTAAAAGTTGTGTGCTGAATCCTAAAATTTTGATATCAAGTCTTCATATGGTTTGTCGTTCATCGATGTCAATTTTTGTGTTTTTTTTTATTAAGGTTTGGAGGGATGTAATATAGTGACCTTTGACCCGTGTCCGTTCATGTCTGAAGGTGACTTCTAAGTTCGGTACTTATCACGTGTACTGTGGGACATTAGCTGTTATGAGTTGGTACTGTGTGCATTAACTGTTTTAAGTTTATCTATCTGGAATGTGTTCTGTTTCGAATGTGAATAAAGTCTACAAATGCAATATAGTTGTGCGTGTATACACACCACCTTACAGTCACTTTTTATGACATTTGGGAGAATACTGATTCTGAAAACTAACTAGTCGTAAGGTAAGGCACAATTGCTTTTAAATGCGAAAAAATACGATAATACCAAATTCCGGCATTCATAAAAATTGTGCATTATGTTACGATACATCGGTTGCGGGAGGGGAGGAATGAAAAAAAAACACTCGTCGGTTTTGCCGTATCATATTATCATCCGATAGATGGCGCTCGAGAAAAGAATGTGAGTAAGGTAAATAGTAAATACTAACTTAATACTGAAAATAGTGGCGTGATATCAACGGAGGGGTGGGGTTATAAACAAATCTCCAGCTGTTTCGTGAAACTATCTGAAATGCTAATGCAAGCAATATATAATTTTTACTCTTGTAATCAATAAATTGTAGATAAATCAAGCACATCTGATCTTTTGGCTTTGAAAGATAGTCTACTAGCTTATATCTGTATATTGAGTTTCCCTACTTCAGTACTTCGACATGCAGACATGATATGATATTACTCAACAAAAATGTTATTATAGGCCTATATTACTGTATTGGCATTACAGCATTATGTGCCATTCTCTTACATCAACATTCAGCATTATAAATACAGCAATATAAGAGCTCGAACTTATTAAACTTGGATATTGTAATCCATCTATGATGCTATTTGTATCATAAAATAGGCAGTATTTTCAGGTTGTAAATATGAGCAAAATCTTATTCTTACAATAAGCGTCATATAAAAAACTTTGTCCTAATAGTTTATCTATAATATTACAGTATTTCACTATCACACAAGTAATCAGATAGAAGAAAGCTTAGTGTTTAGCATATCAGCATATATTTGTACAATGAAAAGTCACACTCCACCAAAAGAAGATCAAAAACCATTGCTTGGAGCGGAGCAAACTGTTGACTTTCAGGATGAAACAATTCCCCCAAATTCTCCAATTACAAACTTGACAAACAATTTTCAAAATGACAGCTTTGAGTCTGAGAAAGCAGAATCAAATGAAAAACTTGATCAGTTTTTTGATAGTTATATTGACAGTACTTCTCAGGAAAATACCAGAGAGTCACATGTGTGTTCGGACTCTGTTTCAAAATGTGGAGATGAGCAGCATTCAACATCAGCACCAAAGAGTACACGGATCAATTCATATTTACCTGTTGCAAATAACCAGATTCCCGAATCATTGTTTCACCAACTTCAAAGGTAATTTATAAAGCAATTATGAAAATGGTACTATTTATACTTATTATTAAATGTAACCACAAATTTCTGAGAGATATAAAATTATTATTTAATACAAGTACTCGTTATTTCAAGTAATCATAGTGCCTTAATCCATCTCAATGGAAGACTTGATTCAAATTTGGGCCCGAGAAACTGTCAGAGAGGCTTAATTGAAACTTGGCGATAATATACGAAAGGCCTATTGAAAAATGTTGTTTGGAAAAAGTCTTTATCATGTCGAAATGTCATCACTACATGATCCTGAATTGTAGTTTAAATTTTCAATAAATTTTGGTGGAACCTAATATGAAAGTTCCATGTGTTCGTATCATATTTATTCATTACGTAGATACACGGTTTTTTATAAAATATACAAAGACTCTGCATAGTAGCGAATCGGCTTGACGTGTGACTCGACTCAGCATTTGCAGTTGCGTATTAGTGTTTGGAGGAATGCTACAAAATTGTATTTGTAACCTGTCTGGCTTTGTCTCATTGTCTTTCATTGTTTTATTTAGTGACTCTTCATCATTGGCCACGCTTGTTACAGAGAAAAGGATATCAGATTCTAGAAGAACTTTCTGTTTATTTGTCTTATTTGATTTGATTTTAACATCATTATTATGGCTGCTTATGTGTGGGGTAAGTTTAAAAAATATTTGAGATATGAAATAGCATGAATATTAAAATGAAGTCGTCTGTAAATTGGTTATTATTGAGATTTCAAAATTTCTTTCATGATAGCTGAGTATCTATCACTGTTAATAACTGTTTTAGGTCTCCAATTTATTATTCGGCTATGTGCTTTTCCCACCGACGGTCATCTTTAGGTGGTAGGAATGCTATAATTATGGATATAATCAGATCTGACCAATCCCTCGTCATAAGACCGATAAAATCCCAGTTTAGTCATATGACATCAGATTGATCAGTTACTGTATATTGACGTTTTCAACTGTTTCGCATCAATCTGAGTTCACTCATATTGGCATACATCCAGAATTTGGAAGATATTTTGTAATGTCTATATCAAAATATTTTAAAAGCCATAGGCCTAGCCTAAAACCATATCTTGTATTAGGAATGAATCAATCATAGAATATTTTATTCGATGATGATCAATTAATATTGTGATATTTTACTGATGTCATATTATCTTTTATGCCCATTGTCATATTTAACATGACAATCGCCAGTCATAACTGATAAATGATAGTTTAAGATCACTGTTTTCCATAATTGATTTTCATATTCCTGGTATTTACCGTAATTAGAAAATTTGAGTTGACATGCAATTGTCGGTCAAGTAGCTGAAAATGTTTTTCTCATGTTGTAAAACCAGACTGTTTATTACTTACCGTAATTTATTGGAAATGAGTTTTTACTGTTATGTTGACTTAAAGTGACAAAATGAAATTATGTAATGTATCATAAATCATATAAAGAGTTAGTTAGGGCTATTCTATTGAGAAACAGCAAGCATATTTTTGTGCTCATCTATTATTAACAGAAAATCTGTTTACCACTCAAAATTGTGCTTGGTAATTAAATCAAAAAATGAATATTGTACATGGTTTCATTGATAGGTACAAATCCTTACCAGATAATAATTTCATCATTATTAATTGTCAATCTGATGTACAAAGCTTTGAAACTGGAATTGGTATGAAGAACATACTATTTTGTTTTTTTAAGCATATGTAATAGCAGAGCCTTTCATGCAATTTATCTAACACTACAAGTCTACAACTTTTGAGAGTTCAATGCCAATGTCGTCCAGTAATGTACAAACAAATTGTATGAATCAAGTGATATATCTCAGTATCTTATCAGTTGTGTATGCTTTATTATGAATAAGCCTGGCTGGTAGTAACCACTTGCTTTAAATCTCAAATATTAATTTTCGAATTTGAATGCTTAAGGATTTCTCACAGGATGTCTTGGATCATAATTATGATAATCCTTACTTATTTGCTATTGAGTGTTATGCTTTAATCCTGGGCGGCTGACATTGGTTCTGATTAAAGCAAATATCAGAATAGGGCAATCTACTTGGCCTATTTTTAACCGGGCCAATTACGATAAATCTGAAATGTCAACAGGGAAGTACTTTCAAGACAATGTTATAAAACTTCAATTCTTTCTATTTTGTTCTGATTGTTTTATATCTTTCAGACCAGTGCCAATTCTGAATATACATTTTTTGTAATTGTTGGAAAACAGATCAGTGAATACACAGTTAATGATTCTTTATTCGATGTCGTGGTAAGTATTAATTAATGTTAATTAAGAAAGTACTAAATACCTGCACTCAACTATTACCGCTTCATTTTAAATTTTGATTCCACTCATATTTGAAACCTTTATTTGACTAGAATTTGTAACTTAATTTTGAAATTAATTTTGAAAAACGAATTTATTAATATTTGAATCTATACAAAATTTGGTATATCGGTTTAAAAATTCTTTGATTTTAGGAAATAGTATAGAATATTTTCATCTGAAAATCTATTTGAAGCATTTCACATCTGATAGTCGGACAAAAAAAGGTTTCGTTTCATCTGTAAAATATAGAAAATGATAACTATTTTATATACATAAACATAAAAGCAGAGACAGGGTAAATATTAAATTCCGTATTCAATATTGAATTGAATTTTTATGAGTTTACACTGTTTGAACAAGAAGCAATTTATTCTATATTATTCAATATATCATTTCCAAAATTTTTTTTTTTTTTTCGGAATAGCAAATTACAGTATTTGATATTCGCCAGAAATATATATGTATAGGGCGGCCCAGGGATGGCCATTTCCGAATACTAAACTATTCCGAATACATTCTAAAATAATGTTTTCGAATCTGGAATTCCGAATACATTCTAAAATCAAAAATAACACATTTTTGTTTAGTTGATTAAAACCCAGTAAATTAGGAAATAAGCTTCAATAGAAATATCAGAATGAAGCCACAGACCAACAGTATATGTACACAAAGTAATTGATAGTTTATAGCTATTAATAAAAAATAATAGCAACTTGTGACACAGTCAGTTTATTAAATTTATTCACTTTGTACAAATGACCATATGAAAAGATAGCCAAGGAGTTGTCTGACGCTTTCTATCATTGGTACCATGATATTACGATAATAGTCTATTGACAAAAATACTACTTGTCTTCAGATAATTGCCTTTAAAAATTCTAATATTTAAGCCTAGAGTATTCTACTACCTACCAGTATATTTGTATATAAATTTATGTGAACCATATTGTTATTATGTGTAACATATTGTTGTGTTTGGAGTTAGAAATAAATTAGTAGAGAATAGATGACCACCACTGCCAGCGTGCAGCCAGGATTTTCGAAATCGGAAATTCTCATTGCCGCCTGTAACACCCACCGCGATTCCGCGCTCGTTGAAAGGGCCGTCTTGTCAGCGTATAATGATCATTCTGTTACGTAAAATATTCAATCCATGACAAATACAAGATTCTAAAATATCTTTCGCGGTTGCTTCTTCTTAGTCAAAAAAAAAACATTTCTATTAGGTCCACGGCAATCTGTGACCTAAAATTACAAGATAAACTGCTTGATGTATTTAATTTTAATATGTATTTTTGCAATCTTGCCAACTCGTTATCGCCGTTAGAAAAATCTCAAATAATTATATAAAATCCTGTTAAGTGTAGAGAATAATTAATTTCATACAATGAATATACATATAAAGTTTAGCAGTAAATTAAAAGAACATATTCATCGCCGCGATTATGCCACCTGTTAAAAGAGTCGACTTTTACAACAAATAATATAACAACGAATATATATTTTTCTGTTGTGCAAAGTGATGAATTCGTGACCGACACGGGCATATTTAAAATGTCTTGCTTTATTAATTTAATTGTCTTCAATTTAACCTTCGGTTGCGTCGACAAAATAAAATCCTCACCACTCTTATATACCATTGCAATCCGCGATCATAAGAATAAAAACGTGTGGTAAACTGCCCGATTAAATAATGTTCAGATCCGTATTTTGCGAATTCGGCAAATATTTAGATGTAGGCCTACTTGTTAACAGTGACTCCACTCCGCTCAATCAAAATGCTGACACTCTGATTATTTTTAGATTAAACCGTTCGAAAAATCCATAAATCTGCTGTAACATCTCAGAGTAAAATTTATTTCATCACAATAAAATTGATTGAATATACTTTAGATTAATTATATTAAATACATCCTCACAACCCGGGAAAAAGTCGCGTTTCAAATATTCGACGGCAATTCAAAGTAATGAATAATCAGGCAAATCCCGCCCTCAATTCGTGTCAATATGTTTCTAAACGCCCGACCAAACATAATGTGTAAGGTAGGCCCACGAAATTTTGCGATTTTCACTGCCTAGAAAAGCGTTTTATAAAATTTCACGGGTTTCAATAAAACTTATATTGTTTGCGGTTTTATTTTCAGTATTTTAAATTGCCGCTTTTCAATCAAAAAGTTGCGTTGTCTTTAGAAACTCGCCGCCGATGATTGTATTTACCAGATTCACAATTCTGTGCGCGTACGTTATCGTGGAACAAATTTGTGGAAAATTTCGTTTTAGAGAAAATAACACAAACGTAAAAGCGTTTACGGCCAAAATAACACGTTACGCTGATGAGTGATGAAAACAATCACGCGCAAGTTTCTATCGAGAATGTTTTCATTCAACGGAAACGACTTGGAAGCGGCGTCGAAAATGTGTGACGTCACACAAATATTCGATATTCTTATGAACGCTAATTCCGATATTCGAATGACGAGATATTCGAATACATTCGAATACTTTATTCGAATTGGCCATCCCTGTTATAGCCTTATTTAAAATGGACGGAAGACCTTAATATTTGGCCCACGTGGGAGGGAAGCATTTCCCTGAGCAATATTATCCTACACTACCAGTATCTCAATTCTATTACTGTTGCAAATTTTGTTCGTTGTTACTTTATGTTTTTAGTTATCCATTATTAAAATAAGATGACAGTCTAAAAACTATTTCTTTAATTCTTGAATATTTAAGGTCAAAGGAGAAATGCGATTGCTTAAACTCACAAACATTTCTGCTTCCATCAATTAGTATATTGTATTTGGCTATTAAACAAGTAAGACTCAACAATATAATACAATATTGTGGACAAAAATAGCTTCATTTTTTCTCATTTTCAGTGTCTTGCTTTTCTACGGTTTACATTCTTGGAGTTGATGTATGCAGTGTTGAGAATTAAGCATTGGTGGCCTGTGGCTCTCAGCACATCTGTAACTGACATTTTATTAATATTAAAAATATTTCCTATATTTCAGGTAAGTGGCTTTGTTCTGCATACTAGTTATTAGTTGCACTATTATTTAACCAAACATTGGGTGCCTTGCGTCAATGAATGATGGTGAACTGTAAATATTGATGGAGATAAATATGTTTGAATCTGTAAATGCTTTTAGAACACTGTCAGATATTGTGGTGATGATAACACTCTCTCTTGCGGGCTACGACACATAGTTTTGTCTATAAGTGCTTGATTTTTAAAACTGTTGACATGCTCTTGATCAGACTTTGTGTTATCAATCTCTCAAGATGTTAGGTCAATGGTTTCCAATCTTTTGATATATGTTTTTGTTTTGGATTTCTTTATTCCTCCCTGGTAAATACTCTGGTTTTGTAATTTTTCAAACGTTCATGAGATCCTTAGCAACCCTCTTCAAACTACAAAGTACACCCCGTTATGTGCAACCTCTTTATAAAAGGATCTTTAGGTTGTGTTATACACACTCTCGATTTTGCATGGTTCATATAGTTTATATTGTGTGTCAAATAACTATAGAATATTATCTAATCTAATGTTTCAAATAGAATCTTGGGATTTGTCTGTAACCATCTACGATTTTTTTTAATATGTAGGCTATTGAGAAAAGTGTAGTGAAAATCCTAACCTGTGTTCTATTTCGGTCATGTGTCATTTTGATATTGTTACCAGATTTATTTACATGTCGTGACTTCTGTTTGCTTTTGCCATCATAGGATATTAACATCATGTATTAATTATGTAATGCGTAAAGTTACTGATTGCCTATTAATAACAGAATAATCAATGATGTTATGAATGAAATTTTCCATATTTGAATGCAGGAGAATATAATTTTGTAATCTTTTCACATTTCTTTTCACTTTTCACATTCCATTCACATTGTATCTCAAGTAAGCATACTACATGAAATGTTAGATTAGGGTTTTTCCAGCCGAGGGTAAAAAATTGTGCTATATAATTTTACCTAAGGTAAGGTAAAAATTCATCGATTTGAATAGTTTTTTCTTTCTATATAGTTCGATTTTTGAAAAATCACAAATTTGTAAATCAAGTCACACAAATATGTCTCATTTATATGATTATTAACTTATATTCAACTTGGCACTTCATCCTACTTAGATTGTTATATAAACAAAATAAAATGGTTTCCATCACTTTGTTGAATTGAAAGATGGATCTATTGAAATGATATATATTGGAAACATGAACAATAATGATCTAATATGATAATCCTACTTCATTTTCTCATATGGCGATTTTGATTCTGGTATTAAAAAGTGTTTTATAAGTGAAAATCAAAGGACAATATTTGTTTTATATTTTTGAACTGAATCACCCAATTAAGGCTAGGGATGATCGAATCCACATTATTTACAAATCAATGCTGTTTTTACAAGCCACGAATATTGATATGATTATCTAGAAGCAGTTTCATCTGTGAAAATTTTATTACCTTTGTAAACCCAACTTGATGGACCTTGGACTTCCTTTGTTAAAAATTAAAATTGTATCAAAAAATTCAAAGCGGGTCAAGCTGTTGAGTGCAGAATTTAAAAAATATTTGGTGTTGGAGGGAAAGGATTAATTGGTATGATACATGGAATCTTTCTCTTTAAAATATTTATTGGCTCGTGGATCCTGTTATGATCACAAACAAAAACGGATAAAAACCTATATTTCTCAATATCATAGCACTTCAATTTCATTGTAAAATTTCTAATATAAGGTGTGTATTGTGTTAATCGGTACGTGTTTGTTTGTGATCATAATAAATATTTCGAACATAAAATAGCAACCAGCCTTTTATTGATTTTAGTCATCGCTGCTTTACAAGTTTTATTTTCTCCAACATGGATTGAATAAACGACGAACCTTTTCTTTTTTGGCTGGATCTGGTGTTGAATGTGTTGCTTAGAAAGCTAGTTTTCATATATTTTTCCATTATTTCTCTTGGCACCCACAGTCCTAGTGCTTGCTTGACCCTAAATTTTAAAAATACACAACCATACAGATTTTTGGAATTATTATTGGGGAAAATCCATCATCAAAATTTGGTAAAAAAGGCAATGTTATTAGGTTTTATATTTGGAACACAAACCTAGCCTTCTGTATTTTAAGTACACTGTTTCATCATGTCTATTCAGCTTTAATCTTGCTCTGATTGTGGCGGAAATGTTATCAATAGAATGTAATGGTGACCCCAAAAAATACAAAACCAGTGAACATAACTTTTAAGCAAAATTGCGAAGTGTCCTGGTTTACTGAAACTTTAGGGTACAGTTAAACACAAACATAAAGTTCAGTTTGAAGAAGTACCGGTAATTAAAAAATTTATTTTTCAGCCTGTACTTAAAACATAAAACGTATATAGCATTTTCATAACTTCTTCATAACAACAGTAAACTAAATCCCGATCATGCAAAACAATACAATGCTTGCTTAGCAGATGCAAATCACAGTATGGGGCGATTTTTTATATCATAGCAACGTGTAAAATGTTATCATCTGATGACGAATCGACTTTTAAAAGTGCCATATATGTATAGTCTGCAATATTGAAATGATTTCAAAATCTGACATCATCATCAACTTACCAACAATTATATCATATTGTGACGTCTCTGGTGTAATTCTGACGTAAATTGCATGATTAACTTTATTTGAGAACTCAATTTACTTGTCTTGCTGTTCTATACATGGACTCCCTATGACAAGTGAGACAGACTGATATGTCAGATCTTTTGGATGAAATCATGCATTTGCCTGATATATATATATATACCCTGGCATATCAACTTTTCAATTGCACTTGTACATATTTACCTTCAGTATATTTGCGAATACGATTTATTGTGGCAGTGCACCAATGTAGAGAAATATTGTTTCCAATTTGCTATTATCATCGAATATTTTAGTTGAAAAATGTTGTCATCTCTGAAGTTTTTGCTTAGGTTTTCTGTAATATGATTGGCGATTGCAGCATAATTCAAGTTTTTCGTGCAATCAACTATTTTTAAAGGGTATTAGGATATTGTGTGTTGAACAGCAGGTCTGTTCCCCATGTTTGTTTTCTGATTGGTATCTGTATATGGCTGTTGCCACAAGGATGCTTGTATGAGATAGTATTAAAGTGATGAATGAAAATAACAAACTCTTTCCACAAAATATCAAGTTTATTTGTGAGCTTTCGTTAGATTATAGTATAACTTCTTCAGACAAAACAACATATGGCTTAGTTAAACAGTGAATAATCTAATGAAAGCTCACAAATATACTTTTTATTTTATGGGAAGATATTATATTATTCTTACTTGACAACTAATTTTAATTGATTGATTAATTGATAAATCAATTTGATTATTCGTTCCAATCAATATTTTTATTTTCTCAGGCTTCTGGTACAGCAACATATTTGAGTAGAGCTATTCCGATGACAATAGTAATTTTATTGACAAATTTTATACTTTCGTGGATCGAAGTCTGGTTAATTGATTTTAAAGTTCTTCCTGCGGAAGCAAAATTAGCACAGAGTAAGTAGTTCCAGCTATGTTTTCTGCCAAATTTTTACTTGGACGCTATCTCCTGCCATTCAGTGTGAATTCTGCTGTACTTAAGCACACTCGAGCAGCGAAATTTTATTTGTCTGAATGCTCTTCAATGTCTGGGAGAAATCAATTGTTATGGAGTGCTATTTGTAAATTTTCAGGTTTAAATGAAAGTAAGTATTTCTTAATTTTTCAATCTAATTACAAAATTACTCTCTTGTATACTCGTGGCCCCATGCTCTTCTATAAAATACCTAGTTATGCTTTCCGCCGGTTATCTTAAGCATGATTTTAGTTATCTTTATACAAACATAAGTGATAGAATAACGGTCATTACAGTCGAAGAATTAAACGATTCGGTTGTGAGCAGAGGGAGTCACTTGAATTGTAGTTGATTCGGAGATCAAAATTATTTTGCAACTTTTTTGTCATATCATGAAAATTTTGTAAATTGAAACAGGTTTTAAGTATTATCAAGCCACAATAGTTATTTATTTTATTACTCCTTTTGCAGGAACTGTCAGGCAATTTATTCAAAATCAACAGTCGTTATCATATGGTGGCAATGACGCAGATCTTGGTGAACGTGCACCTTTATTAAATGGTCATCAAAGGGGTTTCACTCCACCGCAATCGTATTATACCGGAGCAACCTCTGACCATTTGTCATATCATTCAGTATTAGGTGAGTTTTAGTGAGTGATTCGCAGCATTGACCATGTCATATCTCCGAACGTTGTTGGTAAATGATTATTAAGTGATAGTGTCATAATTTTTCTTTAGTCATTTTGGAGCTCGCAGTTTATCAGAGCCTATCCGAAATGTAGAGACAAGATCACAATATGAATTTTTAGGATTATATAAAAATTTATAAAAAAAATCCCGACTATCATTTTCAATAATATGGTACAACAAACGAAAGCAAAGGAATAAATACATAGCAGTCGAAGACTTGAACAAATCTTGGCCAATTTGCTTTGAAATATCATAGTCATTGCAAATGGTACTTAGTGAAGGCCTATGCTCATGGCTCTCAGGGAACGACACCATGATGGCGCACTTTGAAAATCCCTGTAAACTAAATATCTAGTATACTTTAGTACAGATATTGATTATTCAAACATTTTTGTTCTCAGAATCTGAGTTTGAAAGACCCACAAGTAGATTGGCTCAGCTACACAAGGCAAGGCCGATATCACGCGAAGAACAAATGCACATTGAAAAGGGAAAAGGTGCATTGAACCAGTTATGGTGCATGTTTAGAAATGAAGAAATTTGGAAACTTGATAAAGAGCTGGTCAGTTGTTTTATATTGTATTTACTTTCGGATTACTTTACTGAAATTTGTAACTCATCACGATATTTGGAAATAAAATAGTTGTTTACCAGTTAACTGTAATTATATTCCATGGACTTGTTATATCGTAGATTTTCTTAGAAACATAGCACCTTTCTATTCTTTAGTTCTATATAAATAAATGCTGAAATCAAATGTTGAATGTCTGTTCAATGGATTATAATATTTATTCAATATCGTTACAGGAAAATGGGGATAAACTTTACACTGCTGATATCCCAAGTTACGGAAAAACATTTAGAATTGATACAACTGTCTATGGAGTTTCAGCTCAACAAATATTTCAGGTATTACGAGATTTTTTCTTATAAAAATAAGTCTATAAATCTCTACAAGGATCCACAAACATGAACAGATATACTGTTTTCGGTAAGCCTTGAAATATTTCTGGTTCCGATTCATTTTCCCAATTTATTATGCCTTGGGTTTAGTAATGGGCATGAGTTTGAATCCATGATCTGTGATTAACCTCTGAGTTTTGTTGAAGTTACTCCTGTATTTATATTACACATGTAGTATTAATAATCATATTTTGTTTTATAGGAAATCATTCTGAAAGCAGAAACTATGCCAACTTGGAATAAAGCTGTTGATGATGTCAAGGTAGATAAGAATTGTTTTTAATGTTGTAGTGTGACAGTGCATCAACATAGCTCCGAATTTTCCTTTGAATTAGATGATTGATCCATTACTTTCCAGTCTGATATTTTATGCTGAGGATTGAACATATTTTGTTGAATTATATTTTGACTGTACTCAAAGAGCCATATGGATTTCAATTATTTCTGCTTGATTAAAATCTTGCAGTTGTACAATATAAATTGATAAAAGATTGAATTATTATCCTATTCGACACCCTGCTTCTCTTTACGCCTGTTTTCCTACATTTCGGGCTGAATATGATTTTCTATTTCATTTAGATTCTTAGACGAATTGGTGAACAAACAGCCATATCTCTTGAAGTATCAAAGCCTGCTGGTAAAGGATTAATTCAGAGTAGAGATTTCATAACGGTTAGACGGGTTGACAAAATTGAAAATATGTACATCAGTGCTGGTGTTTCAACTGAATATGAAATCCCAGAGACTGGTAGAATAAGGTTGGTGTTTTTCTAACTTGATATGCTGCATATATTATGATAGTGATTGACCAATGGACTTAGCATTTATGGATATTTTCTCGGTTGAATTACTGAATCATACCTAATATTTTAGCCCATATTCCTGAATCTTGACATTGCAATTTAGTTTATTTTCTTATTATGTTTAATATTTAATTTTCAACTGAAATAAAAAAAATCACTATTCCGAATACTTCTGAAGTAATATTTTTATATATATGTTTATCAGAAAATTAACAGAAATAATTGATTTGGGCGATTTTCTATTTTTGCATTACTAGTTCCTGACATTCCTGCTTTTGACAGACATAATAGTTAAAAATGCAGTGTATATTCCTATCCATATTAAGATCTTGGGAATTTTGGTACACCTAATTCTGGTTTGAAAAACAATGTCTTCTTTGTTATATTGAATGACAATCAGATTACCTATGTCCGTTTATGATTTCTCTTCATGACTTGAATTATTTCTATAATCTTTTGTCTAATCTTAATCACACACCTTTCCCCTGTGATAGTAAATGAGGTAATGTTGAACAACAATAAGGTATTGGTTGGTAAACTACAATATAACATATCATGTGGTCTTTGAATTTTACCTGCCAGAGGGCATATATGGCGTCTAGTACGGCAGTTTATCTGGGATTGGTACTATAATGATATCTTAGAGAGAATAGGTATTGAAGGCTGTTCACATTTTATATAGCTGTTCATGTTTTATGTTGTAGCTTTAAAAAAATATTATACAGAGTGACACAAAAAAACAGAACCTCTGGTCATTTGGAACATATTCTGAAGAGAACATAACTTTTGTGAAAACGTCCTAGATTTCTGAAACTTTTGGGTATAAATTAATCAATAATCATACACAAACAGAAGTTCGAATGGTAAACAAATTTTCTTCATTTTCATGAAAGTATTTATGGAATTTATGAGTTCTGTTTTTTGAGTCACCCTGTATTATGCAAAATCAAAATGAATTTGCAATGCAGAATTCTAGAATACCAAAATCTTATAAACATCTCTATTCACGAGATACTCCCAAATTGATATTGCTATATCATTTCAATATATTTCCTGTTTTTACCTTTTTTCAGGGGCGTTAATGGACCAACAGGATTTATAGTCGAACCACTCAACGTTGGGTATAATTCTTGCAAGTTTACATGGATATTGAATACAAATTTAAAAGTAAGTTTCAAAACTCTTCAGACTCGGTAAACTATAGACTTATCTGAGCGTGCATTTGGTTAAGCGAATTCGTCTATATATAACATGCCGGGTAAACATTTTAACCTATATAACAATTTTTTTTCCCAGTATCAGTAATGCATAATACAAGGGTCTAATTTACACAGTAAGCTATGATTTTTAAACCCTGTGCTGTACATCATATGAGATGGCCTCATTGGACACAAAATTAACATTATGTGTGATAGAGTTAGTGGACCAGTTGAGATGGTTGACTATTCCCATGTCAGACCTGAAATGTAACCAGATGTGAATCCATGACTCACCATATTAATTAGCTAACTTTCCTCTCCATATGAAATACTATCTCAATCTATTGACAATGATTTAAAATTGTTTGTGATATTTACTTGCTTTTGCTGATGCATAATTTTATTCATTTTTACAGGGTTCATTACCTCAGTATCTTGTGAATAGTAATTTAGCAGCAACTATGATTACGTTTGTGTCTTCAATGAAGGAATTTCTTGGAGCTGAGTAATTCGTACTTGCAGTTGCAACTGTACTAAAAGAAAAGTCGTGTTTGTGCAAGTCCTTTAATATGTGATCATGTGGACAAAACTACTTCAATTTGGCAGATTCTGTGTTATGGATTCTTGAATTATGTTTCTAACTATTATATAGTTATCTATGATATTATCTGTATGTACATTGGACTACTGACTCTGTGGAAGTTATGAACGAATATTCATGTCAGTGCCTCATGACCAAAATGGTGCTGATCTCTCTTTTTTTTGTTTCGTATTGTGCAATGTCAAAAAAATATTGCTTCCTATGTTCAAACTATTGCACTACTGGTACTGTATTTTCTAAGTTTACCAGACTCGCTGGGTAATTTGAAATACATTAAAAATAATTTGTAGTAGTTGGGATATTCAAAATTATAATATGGGCATCAGAAAGAAGTAAATTATCCACAAAGAACATACCGTTGATTAAATTTTAACTGTTTAGTATAAAATTGTTCTGGAAATATTACAATATACCAAATTTTTGAATATTTTGTCATTATATTTTGTTTAGCGACTAATTTGGCTTAATTTAAATGCCAGTTGAAAAAGTTAGTTTTCTGTTATAAAATGATTAACAAGATAGTAATATTTTTTTCATTAAATCAAGTGCCATCTACCATTCCCATTCCGAATAATTAAATTTGTTATAGGTGATACGACAATCGGTCTTATTTTACCTATGAAATTCCTTTTAAATGCGAGTGCTTTTATATTTGCTTACTTTTACTTTTGTTGCATACACGTATGTCCTATTACTTATGTATACATGTTTTCTCTATACTATACTGCTCATACAAGTTTGATTTGGGAATGGGACTTCACTAAAATAATATTGTATAGTGATGGAGTGTATTTCTTCAGGTTTAAATCAAGTATATCTATGTCTGTTTTTGTTAAATTTTTTGCAACAAATCCTAAAAATACACTCGGATTGGTAACATAGAATCTTTAGTAAATAAAACAAAATCGAAAGATGATCTAAGCATGTGCTTGGAATCAAACACTACACTAAAATAGCAAAAAATTACATTTTAATACAGTATGAAAGCTGATGGCATGACTTTAGTGTTGTATTTTTTTTATATAATTCTGTTGAATTGTGTTATGTATGAGCAAAAAAAGTTGTCACAGGAGTATTATTATATTTTATTATGACTGCATCTTTCTATACCCTACTGTTGCTGTACAGCTAAGTGAAATACTGTTATTAAATTTTTTGTAGTCAAACTTGTACCAAATGTTGAGTTAATTCTTTTTGTTTCATGTCTAATTAATAAATGCTACATGTGTATAACTCGACAACAGGTGTTCCAACACTAATTATCTCATTTACCCTTTGAAAAGTAAAATTTACCCCCTCAACTGTGTATGTACGGTCTATTCCTGTATGTTCCAAGTGAACTATGGAAAGGGGGACACTAGGCTAGAGTGCTAGACAGTCTCTCTGTGTTTGTCCACATACTTTCATACTTGCTAAATTTTCGCCTGATGCAAGTCAATTTTATCCTGGTTGAGAACTCCTGCTCTAAGGTTTGAGTTTTACTCTGTTGTGCTTCGTTGAAAAACCATTTATTTGGTTGAGTTGCCTTTCTGGTTGTTATTATTGTTAACTCAGAATGGTGTGTAAAAATAATTATGTATTTGTTCGATCCTGGATTGTTGTTGTCCTTTAAGTTCCACTACCTTTAAAGGTAGTTCGTGATTATGTCTAATCAGTGATTATTTGTTTTTATTTCTATATCTTTAATAAAGTGAAAATGAAAAATATTAATTACATGGCGGCTTCACATATAATGAGAAGTAAAATTCATGCCAGTAGCATTAGAAAATATGTGATGGCTGTGTATGGGATGAGTGTGTAGCAGAAGCTTAAAAACAGAGTGGTGGAAACTAACTTTGAGCAGATTATATGGGAAAATGGAAATACATTTTAGCTGATGGGGCTATTCGAAGCGTTTCATCATGAAATATATATGGTATATGGCAATGTTGATAGGTGCAGTATAATGGGGTACCCATTTATGGCCGTCCATTTTAGAGCGGTGAGTGACAACTTGGCAAGGGTGAATGACAAGAGTGGACAAGTGAAAATTTCGGGTATATGAGGGACCCCAAATGTTATCCCGTTTTCCTTTGATTTCGTTGTCAATTTAGAGATCTGCTTTTGTCCTAATCTTCACACTCATCTTCTGTTGACCCTTTCAAGTAGAATTTTGAATTTTCGTTCAATTGTAAAACTGCTGATATAAATGTTAACCTCATTGGTGGTGCTCCAATCTAAACATGGGTTTCGAATGACAGATGGAGTTCATTATTTTCTCAACCGGAAAACCAACGAAACAGATATGAGCAACAAGTTTTCAGTACAGACCGGGTGGTAACGATATGATCGTGCTGCCATCAGAGTTATTCGCTATTTGATTAAGATACTAAATATCTAATTTAATTACTCTAACTAATTATAACATCAACTCAACACCTGATTATGCCACTCGGAATAAAAAGCAAAAAATCTCAAGATCGCAAACCTGCATCAGAACCAACAAGCAAATCCAGTCCACCGGATCCTGGTCTGTCACCAATAATACCATCTTTACCTGGTTCATCTTCCACATCCTACTCAGGCCATAGTGAAGAGAAACAACTAACACCACCTGTTTCCTCTCTGAGCTTGACTAAGATTCAGGAAAATATTCAAAAGAACATTGAAATTCAACTTCCAAGCATCATTGCTCGCTGCATCTCTGAGAATTTTAACAACTCATCAGAGTATTTACCCTTGAGTCCAGGATTAAAAGAATTTATGGACAATCAAAATAAGTTCTTGAAGGATATTAAAAATGAACTATCTGTCATCAGAGAGTCCCAGGACTTTCAATCTAAAAAGTTTGATGACATATTAAACATCAAAAAAATATGGATGACCAACTAAAATATCAAAATAAAAAAATTCAATGCTTAGAAGAACGCATCCTGGATCTTGAAGAAGATCTTTGGTATTTATCCGAGCACACTGAAGACCAGGAACGGCGCTCCAGACTCGAAAACCTGGAGTTTCACGGAGTCCCACCCTTAGCAAATGAAAACACCGACGAACTGGTTTTAGAGATTTCAAAACTCACCAAGGTGAATATCCAGCCAAGGGATATTTCTTTTACTCATCGCTTCCCTACAAGAAATCCGAAAAACCACCCTCCTATTATTGCTCGATTTACTAACCGAAGAATTCGACATCAGATTTTCGAAAACCGCAAACGTTTAAAGGCTGCTTCAAATACATCTAATATTAAAGACATGTCTAAAGTTTTCATTTCCGAAAACCTCACCAATAGGAACAAAGACTTATTTTTTCAAGCAAAGGCGCTAAAAAATAGATGCGGTTACGCGTACCTATGGACCTCCAATGGAAAAGTCCGGATAAAAAAAAACAGAATGACAAATACTCTTGAAATCTTGGATGAAGATGATCTCCAAAAATAAAATAGGTCAGACTTTTTTAATAACCTTTATTTTTCTTATATAATCATTATTTTCCATGTCTTCTGAACAAATATGTTCAATATGTCATTTTTTGTGTCTACCCGATTTTTTTATATGCTGCAATTTGTGTGACCTTAAATTTCACCCTACATGTGTTGCCCCATTGCTCCACCCAAATTTAAACTATATTTGTGAAGTGTGCCTTGCTCAAAATTCTCATGCCTCTTTTCCATATACCTTTTCATGGGAATCATTGAACTTGCCCTCTACTATTTGCCCTATTACAAGTGAATACCTAGAACTCCCTAATATTAGTGGAACTTTATCGCAGCTCAAATCGACTGACTTCATTTTTTTGCATGTCAATATAAGATCCCTTCCAAAGCACATTGATGACCTAATGCAAATGTTAACAAGTTTCGACCAACTACCGCATATCATTGCCTTAAGCGAAACTAGACTTAATGAATCTCCCATTAGTACTATATTTATAAATAATTACAACTTCATTCATTTTCCATCTCCTACCAAGGCTGGGGGTGTAGGGATTTTTATACGCCATGATGTTTTATTTGTTGAAACAATTGAGTTTAGACTCAACTTTCCCCATTGTGAAGATATATGGATTCAGGTTAATGAATCCTCATCTGATAACCCCAAAAAGTTCATTGTTGGAGTTGTTTACAAACATCCTCGCAACGATCTTTCCGATTTCATGGAAACAATGAATTCCCTACTTTCCAAACTAGAAAATTCGAAAAGCCTTTTTATAATCTTGGGCGACTTTAATATTAATTTACTATCCAAAGATAATTTGTCTACACGTTACACTGACATGCTTCTATCGCACCTAGCCGTTCCAATCATAACGCGCCCAACAGAGTAACCTCGACATCACATACATTAATTGATCATATATACACGAATGCAATCGATCGCTGCTCCTCGTCTATTATCATACAACATGATATATCCGATCACTTTCCTATTATGTCATCCTTTTCTTTTTCGAACACAACTTTCCGTAAGGCCAAACCCGCATGAAAAGAAAAATGTCTCATTTCAATGAGGAAACATTCAGAAATGATGCTCAAAATGCATTCTATGGATTTTTATTGACAGAATTGTCCACTGATAGCTTCAATGAGGTGTTCAACATCTTCATGACCTCATTGGAACATTTACTCGATGAACATGCACCTATGGTACCGGTTTCTCGCAAAAAAACAAAAATTCTATCCAAACCCTGGATTACGAATGGTATCCAAACATCCATTAGATTAAAAAGTAAAATGCATAAAAATATTATTTGCATGGCAGTGAAAGCCAACGCGCACATTACAAAAAATACCACAACATCTTAGTTCACCTACTAAGAAAATCAAAACAAGCCTATTATTTGTCAAAAATGAAAAGCAATAGAGGAGATGTAAATCAAACATGGCAGACAATAAAGGAGATTGTGAACATTAAATCGAGGAACAACTCCTCAATATCAGAACTAAAACTTCAAAATGGACTCAAAACTAATGATAGCCTAACCATTGCATCCGAACTTAATAAATTCTTCTCAAATATTGGGAAAAATTTAATAGCAGATGTTCCCACAACAAATGAACATTTCTCGAGCTTTCTAAAAGCTCCCGTTAAGGAGTCTATTTATATGCGAACAACAAATGTGACCGAAGTCTTCAATACCATTCTTGCTTTGAAAACGGGAAAGGCCACAGGCCCATATAACATCTCTACATTTCTCCTTAAGAAGATTGCTGACATAATCTCACCCATCATAGTAAATTTCTTCAACACGTCTATAAGAATAGGCATATTTCCATCTGCGCTGAAACTTGCCAGAGTCATACCATTATACAAATCAGGTGATAAAACTAACCCATCTAATTATCGACCAATCTCCATCTTATCATGTCTGGCAATTGTCTTTGAGAAACTTCTGTATTGCAGATTAAGTGATTTTTGTGGTGAGAACAAACTAATAAATAAATGCCAATTTGGTTTCCAAAAAAATCACTCAACAAGCCATGCCATAATTGACCTCATAGAATATATCTATGATAAATTCGAGAAGGGAGAGCATGTCTGCTGTGCCTTTTAGACCTAAAAAAAGCCTTTGATACCGTTAGTCATAGCATACTCCTTCGCAAACTCAATCACTACGGAATTCGAGGTTGCGCGCATGCCCTCATCAAAGATTATCTGCAGGGCAGACTCCAATTTGTCGAAGTTGACTCTCACCGTTCCCAAGTTCTTCCAATCGAAGCTGGTGTAATCCAAGGGTCTTGCCTTGGCCCATTATTATTCGTTCTTTTTATAAACGACATCTCTCATTGCTCTGATTTGATGACCAAATTATTTGCAGATGACACCGGTCTTCTCTGTAGTTCAAATCTTCACTGAATCTCCAAAATCATGTCAACCTAGAAATGGTAAAAATTTATAATTGGATGCTTAGTAACAAGCTCACCATCAATATACAAAAGTCTAAAGTAGTCCACATTAAGCCTAATCACAACCGCGACAAAACTCCTTTAGAAATCAAAATCAATGGAATCGAGCTCGAGTCTGTGCCTTCGTATAAATATCTGGGGTTAAACATAGACAATCGTCTACAGTGGGATGTGCACATCAATGAAGTGCGAAAAAAAACTTTCACGTTCAGTAGGCATCTTGAGCAAACTCCAACATTACACGGACAGAAATACACTGAAGATAGTTTATTATTCTCTCTTTCAAACATATATCCAATATGCAGTTGTTGCATGGGGATCAGCCTCCAAGTCAAAACTAAATCCTATTAAAGTTTTACAGAACAGGGCCGTTAAAATTCTCTATAGGCCTACTGCTCATATTAACATGAATATTATGTATCATGAAACTGGTGTCCTGAAGTATACCGATATTTATCATCTAGAAATTGGTAAGTTGATGCACCAATTCCACAATTGTTGCCTGCCACATGCATTTAATAACTATTTTGTCAAGCAAAGCAATGTTCACAATTATAACACTAGATCAGCATCCACTTCATCACTCCATGTACCTCGACAGACTTACACCAAAACGCAAAATTCACTCAAATATAAGGGTGTTGTTATGTGGAATGCTCTCCGTGCTGATTTACGAAGCATGTCATACCAACTTTTCAAATCAAATATGAAAAAGAATTTCGTGTCGACTTACTTCGAATGTTTGTAACAACCCGACCAAGATCTTTATTGTGGCTGCTTTTATGACACCACCTGAAAAAAAAATATAATGTGAAAGGTTATTGAATCACTGCAATGACCTAGTAATCA